TCTCCGGGGCTGCAGTGCAGAGGGTCCCCTGTCAAATGGAAAGGCCGGGTTCCCCCGCCCTCCCCGGAGCACAGAGACCCTGGGGCAGCTCCCACCTCCTGGACGGCGCTCTGGATCAGGCGGTTGGCGGCCTGCAGGTCCGCGGGGCGGCTGCTCCTCAGCAGCCTGGCCAGGAGCTGTGGGCACACACGGGCAGCAGTGAGCAGCGGCAGCAGCCCTGGCACCGTGCGCACACCACAGCCACAGACACTGCTGCAGAGCGGCTCCATCAGCCCGGAGACTGTCAGCTCCTGTCCCACAGCCCAGCCCAGGCCACGCTGCTCCTGCACACACTGCTGGTCAGGATTAGGGACTCTGGCTCTGCAGAACTCCTGTAAGACTGGAGAAGCCCTCCCTTGGGGAGATTTCATGGAAACTGATGTTTTTCTGTAAAAAAGTTTCACTGCTTTCTAAGGAAATATTTCTGACAAAGCTTCAGAGAGTTCTCCAGCTGTTGCACTGCAGGAGGCATCAGCATTATTCTGAGATTGTCTCAAACAGCAGAAGGTCCCGAAATATTTCTGACCTCTTTTCTCATCAGGACAAAACAGAGGGTGGGGCATGAAGACTCTAAGGTTTACCTTGGACTTCTCTTCATCTGTGTCAAAAATAGAATTCTGAGGTCTTGGAGAAGGGGGAGGTAAAATTTTGTCTTCTGGCAGTTTGGGATCTTCTTTTACAATCCCTGGAACAGGTAACAGTACTTGTTCAGTGATGCCCAAGCTGCCGAAACCTTGATGCTCAACAGTGCATGAGGTTTTGCACAGATTTCCAGATTAAAACACCACTGAGGACCACTAAACATAATGGAGTGGATGAAAAAATCCACCCCAGGATCCCTCTGAACTCATGTCTCATAACCCTGGGAGATATTCCAGGGCAAAGATCACTTCTCAGCCTGTCCTGTGCTTCTCCCCTGCCCACAGTGTGAGCAAGGACCTCAGACTGGTCTGAGCTGTGCTCAGGAAGGCTGTTCTTTGGAAAATCCCTTTAACCAGTTCCATGCATCCTTCAGAACCCAGCCAGCCTGGGACCTTTGTCCCTTCTCCTCACACACAGCATGTTAGGAAAAAGCTGAGTCACAAGCTGAGGGGGGCAGATATCTGTGGGGGAAGCCATGGGCTCGGGAGGCTAAAAAGGAAACTGAAATAACAGAACTGAACCTTGTTTCTTCAGCATCTGATAAGCATCCTGGATTTTGACTTCCTGAGGAAACCAGACTGTCCAACTGAATATCACTTCTGTGACCCTCGACTTGACTTTTTCTGAAGACCAAATTCCGTAATACTGAAAACAAGACAGTAAAGAAAGACAAAAATCTCAAATGAGAATCACACACACATACTATAATAATCAAAATTAAACCACTTCAAACTTCTCTGATCAGTTATTGAATCCAAAACCCAAAGCAGGTTATTTTAGTGAAAACATTCTGTGCTGCTGCAATACAGTCACAGCACTGGCCTCAGCCAGCCCCAGACACAGGACAACTGAACAAAACCAGAAACAAACATTATTCATTCTTATCTCTTATCAGCATCTGGGTGCTTTCTCCGTTTTCTCTCATTACTGCCTATGACCACTCCTTTAACTATAAAAACACAAACCTCCCAAGGCCAGGCATTTCCAACTGATTAAATGATACCTGTCCCCTCAGAGCAGTAACAGAATTGTCTTCAGAGATATGTGCTTCAGAGTCTGTGGCTTCACTGAAATTCTGTTATCAAGCCTGAGACTGAGACAAGGAGTTTTGTTCTTCAGTTGAGCACTTCTTTGCAATCAGCTTTTTGCAGCTCTGCCCTTGGGCTGATGCAATGGAAAATGAAACGTGCCCCAGTGGTAAATGTGTGCAGGAGCCACCAGAAAGGGAAATGGATGGTGTGATGCTCAGAGTGTCTCAGGCAGGCCCAGCCCCATGAAGAGGAGCACAGCCAGCAGATCCCACTGCCTCTGACAAAGCAGAGTGCATTCCTTATCCCAAAACCCCTGTAACCATCACCACCTACCTTTGGGGAAAGCACTTTAATCAGCTCGTTCAGAAACCTGAATTTTGCCATTTCACTGTGAAATCTGTCACCGCAGTTGTTCACACAAGTCTCCAGCACCTGCAAAAAGCAAAATGTTACCAACAGGAACTGAAAACACAAGGCTTGGTGAGCTTTCAAAAACTTTGTCATTATATTACTAAATCTAAGAACTTTCTGACACTGCAGTCACCCACACAAGAGACTGAGAAAGCCATGCAGCAAGAACACATTTTATTCCTTCATCCAGCTTTCCTAGGCAGCACGTTTAAGGCCACCTGCTCTGTTCTACCCATCACTAACAACTTTTGAGCTCTTGCCTCGGTGGTGGGACACAGCTCACACAGCCAGAGCTGCAGACCAGCAAACACCTCAGCAGAGCAGCTGGGGAGGAACAGAAGCAGTTACTGCCCCCACTGTGCCCTGGTTCCTGCAGTCCTTGTGCAAGGGAAAGTGAAACGGAGAGGCATCCAAGAGAAAGAGAAAGATGTGGATATCTAAGAGCAAAGGAAGAGAGCTGTCCTGTCTGCTCTGTTCTACCTGCCAGCTCTGATTCCCAGTGACTGCTCTGTGTGCTGATGGAAGTACTCACTGTGAGGGCATGCAGGGCTTCCCCCTCCTGAGGGGACTGGATTTTGTGTGCCAGCAGCCTCAGCGCAAACCACGGGCTGGGGAAGAGCAAAGCAAGTCACAGCATGCACGAGGAGCTCCCAGGAAGAGCAGATGCTGCTGGGCTGGGCCTGCACAGAAGGGCAGCTGCTGGGCTGCCAGCAGGACAGACAGCCTTCCTCGGGCACAGGGACACTGCACACACACAGGGCTGAACCGGTGACCCAGCACTGCCCCCAGCCCTGCCCTTTGGGAGGGAGCAGAGGGACAGGCCGGGGGAGTCCCTGGGCAGGCACCACCAGAGCTGGCTCTGCAGCTGCAGGAGCTCCAGTGACAGCCAGGACAGCCCGTGCCAGCTCCTGGGCACGTGTGGGTGCCAGGCCATGAGCTCTGAACTCAGTCTGCTCTAAACACAGGGATGACCACTAAGGTTTGACAGGTCACAAGCTTAATTAGTCCTTAATTAGTCCCCTGCTACTTCCCACAGAGGCCAGACTGCCAGCTGGAAGGTGAGGAAACCTCAGCAGAGCTGCTCCACCTGTCTGGAAGGAGAAGCTGAGGCTGAGCTGCCTGGGGGCTCCCCTGCAGAACCCCACAGCAGAATCCTTGTGCAGACCCCCAAGGGCATGGCCAGCAGGACCTGCTGCCCCGTGGGCTCCAGCATTGGTGTCAGAGCCCATTCCCTGACATCACCCTCCACCACACTGGCACACTCCCATTTCCAACTCCTATTTTCTGCTCCCAGGAGGAGCAGAGCCCAGCGAGCCCCCTCAGCTGCCCACGGCACAGCCCCAGGCCCTGCCCCACAGAGCCAGACACAGCCTGGGGGAGCACAAAGGGCTCTGTGTCTGCCTTACCCCTCTGTGGCAGCGTTCACCTGCTCGCAGAACCGCTGGATGCATTCCCAGTTCTCCTCGGAGACACTCGGGTCAGTGGCCTCATCTTGCAGAGGGAGAAAAACAAGAGAGGAAGAAGGAAAGCCCAGGCTCAGTGTGAGCCAGTGCCCAGAGCAGGAAGCAGCTCAGACCTCGCTGCTGCCGCTGCTCCAGAGCTTTCTGTGGCAGAAAAGGGAGACCCAGGACGAGCAGGAAACAGCTGTTACTAAAGCCTGCCTAAAAATATAGTCCCAAGCACACACTTAAAGTCAAGCACAGCCTGACAACAGCAGATGTTGCTTTTAGCAGGAGAAACTTAAAAACCATTTACAGGCAGCTCTCCCGAGACCACTACAAAACTTGTGCTGGAACACGGGCAGTTTACACATTAGCACGGCTGAATTCAGGAGAAAAAGTGGGTTTTGCCTCTATCCACTCCCCAGTGTGTCACTGAGCCAGCTTTGGGGGCAGGACAGGTAGGGAAGAAGCCAGATGCAGCAAGCCAGCACCCACACCACTCTACCAGGGTTCCATGGGGGCAGCAGCCCCTTCCCCAGGGGGGTGAAGCTGCTCCAGTGCCCACCCAGGTTGGAGGAGGCGGCAGAGCCAGCCCCAGACCCCCGGCCCCAGCCCCACTCACTGAGCCAGCGCTCCAGCTGCCCGCTGCCAGCCATGGCTGCGTGCCCGCGTCCCTGTGCCCGCAGGAAGCGGCTCCGGGCGGCCAGGGCACCCGCGTGAGGCTGCTGGGGAGGGCTGTGCTGGGGAAGGGCTCCTGCGGCTGCTGCGGAAGCGCTGCTGTGGGTGTGGGCTCAGCACAAGCCCTGAGCTCCTCCCCTCGGCGGCTGCACAGTAACCGTGAGAACGGAATCAAAGTCACCACGGTGATTTAATAACTAGAAGGGCATCAGACAGAAGAGGATAAAACATCTCAGTCTCGTGATCAGGGGTGTTTTTAGCAGAATCACGTACATGACACGGTGCACAGGAAACCCCCCTCTCAGCAGCTCACTGAGCCTGGCAGGACACCAGGGCAGCTAAGAGGGCAACAGCTATAATATATATCAATACATATACAAAAATACCCCCCACTGTATTTATTGGGGAACCGTGTCGTGTAGCTGTAGGTACCCTCTCCAAAAAGAATCTTATCTGTTGCTTTCAGAAGTTCATTTCCTTTCTGTCCACATGGTCTGAATTTAAATGCTGGTATGTGTATTCTTCTCCCACCCTGCCAAGCAGGCTCCTTGCACGAGACAGCGGCAGGATGGAGCTGAATCTGGACTTGGTTCCTCTCCCAGACGAAGTGGCTTGTGCTTGGTGCAGGTTCCTACAGACGTGGGGCCAGCCCAGACACCTGCCTGGCCTGAAGCCCAGCTCGTCTGCTCAGAGAGGATCACACAGGTGCCACCTGCACCATCCCAGTGTCAGCCTGGCAGTGTCACCAGTGTCCCTGTCAGCTGGACAGGGCTCTGCGTATGCGGCCACACGCCTCCTCAGCTCCCAGGGTCACCATCATCTCCGCCACGCTGGGGCCGTGCTGCAAACACAGAGTCACTGAGCACAGGAACTGACCTGCCCAGCTCGTGTCTGTGCATCACAGCCCTGCCCAGAGGCACCCGAAGGGCTGGCACCAGAGCTGAGCCAGGACTAGGCTCTGGAGAACTTGTGTAAACCGTGGGTTTGAGCTCTGTGAAAGCACACTGCACATCATCTCAGAACTGCTGCGTTACCTGCTGCCCGCTGAGCGCCAGGCGCAGCAGCTGCATCATGCTGCTGTACTTGGTCTCTCTGGTCTGCTTCTGCACACTTCTCAGCTCCCTGTTCAACTCCTCCACAGTCAGGGCAGCTGCTGGCCTTGTCAGGAGCCTTTGGGGAAGAAGGTGTCCTTACACTCTGGGGACATGGAAACCACAGGGCTCCCACCTGTCACCCCTGCCCTGTGCCAGGGCGCTCCCTCTGCTCCCCAGCAGCAGAGCTCATTCAAAAGAGCAAGTTTAAACTACAAAATTATGCCACGGACCCAGGAAACCACAGAAAAAGCAGTAATTCTGACTGTTGTCAGAGATGAGGAGCCATTTCTGCCACTACTCGGCTCAGAGAGCAGCACACTTACCCTGAGACCAGTTTTCCTATTTTATCTACTTCTGCAGAAATTGTTTGTAGCTGCTGCCGGGACACCGAGGGCCTGACCCACAGGTAGGAGTAACCACTCGACACCAGATCCTTCAGGAGGCTTATGTGGCCCTGGGGGAGGGAAGCAAAGCTGGCAAGGCAGAGGGCTGTGCTGTGGAGGAAGCAATTCCTCAGCCTGGAGGACGGGGGCACAGCACTCTGCCACTGCCCATACCTTTCTCAGCAGAAGGACTCGCTCCACATATTCCTCTTCCAGAACATCTGGATCCACTTGCTGCTGCCCATAGACGAGCTCCACCAGCCCCTGCAGCTCCCTGACGAGCTTCTGGCGCAGCCCTTGGTTCTCAATGTGACGGCTGAGGTGAATCCTGCAGCACAGCAAAGATCTGCTTTTGGAGTGCTTTGGGTTGCCTCAGATCACCCCAACCACGTCTCACAGAATATTCTGAGCTGGAAGAGACCCTCAGGGATCATCAAGCCCAACCTTTAAGGGAACAGCCCATCTGGGGACTGAACTCTCAACTTTGGCATTTCTTAGCACCATGCTCTGACCAACTGAGCTAAAACTTTGGAAGTGTTAGAAAAGCAGCACTAAACCAGTCGGACACACTACAAACAAGCATTTAGCTAAGGTGCCCCACAGGGAACTAATGATGAGGCCACCTTAGCAGCACAATGTCCTAGGAGCACGAGTGTACTTGCAGAAGAACCTTCTGGAAGTGTTAACTCTTTTTAGATGTTATTTTCTTAGTTATAAACATAAGAGTTTAGATCCTCCCAGCTACACCCACCCTCTGCCTAGACTTTCAGTGTTGCCAACCCCAGAGTCCAAGCACAGAATAGGAGAGGAGGCAGGAACTGTGCGAGCAGAAACTTATGGTTCCTCTCACTTAGCACAGCCCAACAAGTGCTGCACCAGGATCCAACAAACAAAACTCCAGCCAAAGCCAAGTGCTAGAAATAAATTCTCACTGACATGGTGCTTACTACATTTTAAAGCTACCACTAATTTTTTACCTGTTGAATTCTGGGAGTGCTTCGAGGTCCAGGAGAGCAGAATGAGTTGTAATTCTGCTTACTTCAAACTGGGAGATCAGCTCCTCCAGAGTCCTCCCCATCTGTTTCTCTGCAACACAAGCCAGAGGGAATCACAGGGCTGTGCTCTCCTCGGGCATGGAGCTGGGAGCATGCTGAGCAAAGGTGACACAGGACAGCCACCCGTGCAGTGCCAGCAGCAGCAGGGGTGTGCCAGGAGGGAAGTGGCAGCAGGCACACTGCCATGCTGCCCTCTCCCCAGGAGCTGCTCTGCCGCAGAGACACTGGGACATTGTGCTTGGCTCCATCGCTTCCTCAGCAGAGCCCCTCTGCCTCAGCTGGCCACAGAGAAGTCACACTCAGCCAGGAGTGGGCACTGCCCAAGCAAGATTTCATTCCCAAGCAGAGCTCTCAGAACACAAGTTAATTTGTGACCCCCAACAGCAAGAACCACAAAAGGAGACATTGACTCAGCTCCTCCTGGTCTGTCAGGTTAAAGGAAAGGTGGCACAGGTGCCAGACAACACAGCAATCACTAACCACAGAATGCAAGCTTTCTCAAGGCTTCACAGAGCTTCTCAGCCCTGAAGGGAGGGTTTTCCCAAGGGAGAACCCACTAAGCACCTGATTCAGTTTTAATGGCTGCAGATTTCCACCACCCCAGCTCCCTCCACAGGAGCTCTGCAGAAGGCCCGGCGGCACCTCGGTGACCGGCCGGTTATGTGACACCCATTCCCCGACCCCTTCAAACACGGACAGGATCTCAGCTGTTAGAGCAAACCCTCCGTGCCACGAAGCCAGCACGAGGTGGGCGGGCAGGCAGGAGCCCCCGGCGGTACCTGCGAACCCCGAGCCGCAGTTGGTGACCACGTCCAGCAGCGCCTCCGGCAGGAAGCCGTCCCGAGCGAAGCGCTGCAGGAAGATGTCCCCCTGCCTCTTGGACAGCTTGCCCCCGTCCTTGTTCAGCAGCAGCGGCAGGTGCCCGAAGCGGGGCGGCTCCCAGCCCAAGGCCCTGTAGAGCAGCAGGTGCTTGGAGGTGGAGGCCAGCCACTCGGTGCCGCGCAGCACGTGGGTGATGCCCATGTGGTGGTCGTCGACCACGCTGGCCAGGTGGTACGTGGGGAAGCCGTCCCCCTTGAGGATCACGGGGTCGCCCTCCACCTCTGCCACCTCGTGCTTGCTCCAGCCGTAGACCAGGTCCTGGAAGGGCTGCACGCCCCTCTCCAGGCGGAAGCGGATGACGCACTCCAGGCCCTGGGACAGCTTCTGGGCCACCTCCGAGGCTGTCAGGTGCCGGCACCGGTTGTCGTACCTTGGGGAGATGAGCGCCATCTCAGGCACCAGGGCTTCTGCTCAGCACGGGCCAACGCCACCGGCTGTTTCTACATCCCCAAAACCCTAAGCAGACGCCTGAATTTCAGCTGTAACCCGCCCACCGCACATCCAAACACCTCCTCTCTGGAGGGTGACAGAGCCTCCTCCCTCCACGGGCAGGAGGTGCAGCCGGAGCCGCGAGGCTCAGGCCAGGGGCCGGGCTCAGACACGCACCGCGGGGTCTGCTGGCGGCGCAGCGCGTCCCGGCGCAGCAGCTGCAGGCGCTGCGGGCTGCAGAAGCAGCGGTAGGCGGCCCCGCTGGCCAGCAGCGCCGCGCCAGCCCGCCCGTACAGCTCCAGCCGCTGCGACTGCACGTAGGGCCCCGCGGGGCCGCCCCGCCCGGGGCTCTCGTCCGGGGGAATACCTGCGACAGCGGCACGGACAGAGGCAGTGAGCAGCCCGGACAAAGGCAGCCGGACCCACCCTCCGGCTGAGTACGGCCAGCCTTTACAAGAAAGGTAAGGATTCAGCAGGTGGAAAATGAACGATGCTTCTAAATACCTGCCCAGTCCAACATATCTTCTATTCCTTCTGCAGCTCCAGGCACCACCCGATTCTGATCTGTATCCTCCACTCTTAAAATAAAGGTTCCTCGGTGCTTTTTGGCAAAGATATAATTGTACAAAGCAGTCCTAAGGCCACCTAAATGCAGAAAACCTGTAATCGTGGGGAAATCAGAGGAGGCGGTCACAAAGGAGACCCAGAGGAGAGTTCTAAATGTGAGCTGGAAGGGCGCTGGATGCTGCGTGCGATGGCAGCGGCACCGAGGCGGGAGCGGCACCGCACCCGGGGCACGTCCAGCTCCGGGGGCACTGGCTCTGGAAGGAACTCATGGATAACTCCTGCCAGGAACAGAGTCCCCAGAGTGACCGGGTAATGCCCGACAAGCGGGCACATACCAGGAACAGCACGCCACGGTACACCGACCGTGACCCCGCACGGCGGGAGAGCACCGGGACCCGCTGCAGGGGCGAGCCCGGGAACTCCGGCAGGAGCACTCCGGGCAGCCAGCAGCCACCCCACCCCTCCAGAGCCCCAATTTATGTTTTCAACCCAAAACCCCGCCCCGCCGCAGCGCAGCCCGGTGGTGGGCAGGGGCGGGGCTGCCGAGGGGTCGGTTACCTGTGGGGCTGGGCCCGAAGCGGACCCGCGGCCCCCGCTCGGGTCCGGGTCCGGGTCCGGGTCCCGATCCCGATCCCGATCCCGATCCCGATCCCGATCCCGATCCCGGTCCCGGTCCCGCCGCGCAGCGCAGCGCGCGCAGAGCTCGCGCCATCCCGCCACGCGCCCACGTGGCCGCGGCGCCGCTTCCGCCTGGCCCCGCAGCCAATCCCCGTGCGCGCCGCCGCCGGGGGCGGGGCCTCCCTTAAAGGCGCCACCACCCGCTTCGTCCGGTCGCGCGAGGGGACCTCGGCCGCCGCCACGGGCCCGGCAGCGTGGGGCAGTTCCGGTGCCCGGAGCGCCGAGCGGAGGGTCCGGCTCCCCTCCCGCCTCCCGGCGCGGCGCGGCCCGTGCTGCGGGGGCGCGATCTGGGGGTCACCGCCGCCCCCACGCTGAAAGGGAGGCGGGGGTGACTACGGGAGCCGGCGCGGCCCAGCAGCGGCGGGGCGGCGTTTCCCGGCGTGCCCCGCGGCGGATTGTACACAATCATCATGGCCGCCGCCGCTGCCGCCGCCGATGGTACGAGCGCGGCCGGCAGCGCGGAGCCCGCGGTGGCCGCGGCCCGGGGTACCGGGAGCCCGCGGGGCCCGGAGCCCGTGGTGCCGGTGCAGGGGGCGGCGGGGCGGGCCGGGGGGCGCCGGCGCGGGGAGCCGGCCCCGGACACGCTGCGGGCGGCGCTCCGGGGCCGGAGCGGGGCCGGGCCGGGGCAGCTGCCGCGGGCCGGGATCTTCCTGTCCGCTCCCCGCAGGTGCCGAGGAGCCGGGCATGGAGGCGGAGGCGCAGGAGCTGCCGCTGGGCCGCGGCGGGGCGGGCGGCTCGCCGGCGGCGGGGCGGTCTCCGGACGGCGAGGAGCGCCGGGAGCCCCCGGAGGCATCCGTCAGCAACGGCGGCGACGAGGACGGCGGCAGGGAGCTGGTGGAGCTGAAGGTGATCTGGAACAAGAACAAGTACGACGTGAAGTTCTGCCTGGACAGCACGGGAGCCGAGCTCAAGCAGAAGATCCACTCGCTCACAGGTGCGTGGGGCCGCCGCCGCTGCCGCGCCTCCCCCGCGCCGCCGCCGCTCCTCATCGCTGTGCTTGCCCCTCATCGCTGTGCTTGCCCTTAATCGCTGTGCTTCCCCTAATCACTGTGCTTGCCCCTCATCGCTGTGCTTGCCCTTAATCGCTGTGCTTGCCCCTAGGCCTCCCGCCTGCCATGCAGAAAGTCATGTTCAAGGGACTGCTGCCGGAGGAGAAAACCTTGCGGGAAATCAAAGTAACCAACGGAGCCAAGATAATGGTTGTGGGCTCTACCATCAACGATGTGTTAGCAGTAAATACACCCAAAGAGGCTGCTCAGCAGGACGTCAAAGCTGAGGAAAACAAAAAGGAGCCGCTTTGCAGACAAAAGGTAATTAATATCTCAATAACTGCTGGTGTGGGGGAGCGGTAGGATTTTTGTGATTCTCCTGCAGGCACTTGTGGGTCCTGTTCCTCCTCAGGTCAGGTTGGGGGTTCATTTCTGACAGCTCAGCATTGGAGGGACTCTGGGCAGGGGAGCAGCACAGAACTGTTTAGTCCAGCAGGGACTGGGGCTTTGCAAGACACTGCTTGTGCTGCCAGGCACAGCCAAGCATTTTGGTCCAGAAATGGAAACATTTGGTGGTTGTTAGTGCAAACCCAGCCCAGATTAACTCTGTCTAAAACCTATTTATTTTTTAGTGGCACAAAATAAGTTGATCTCCAAACTGCTCAAAACAATCACTAGGAAAGCAGTTCCTTCAGCTGTCCCAGCCCTGACAGGGATGTGGGCGTTGAATTCTCCTCTCAGTTTTTGTAGCACAGTGCAGTGGGGCTGCTTTGATGGCTGCTGAAGGATTGCTAGCTCAAGGTATTACCAGCCCTGTACCTTGCTCAAAATAAACCTGGTTAAATTAAGTAGTGCCTCCATGAAGCATGCTGATGGTTTTCTGTGATTTATCACGTTCACGCTCAGTGTAAATCCCGTGATTTTTAGGGTGCTCAGCCAGGTACAAGCCGTGAGTGTGGATTTGAACGTTACCACTGCTCTGATCCCATGCTGGTTTGGTGCTGGGCTGCACTGCCAGATGTGGAGAATTTCTGCCATTCCCTGGATGTAACACTTTGGATTTTATACACTTGTATTTATGTGCGTGTATATTTGAGAAGGCTGTTATCCTTGGCGTTATGTTGGAGTTCCACTTGTTTTGATAATTTCTTGGCAGTATTTGGAAAGTGCACAATGAAGTTTGAAAGTCACTGATGCCTGTGTGATCAATGCCTGTGAACAGCCCTCAGCTGTGTCCCAGTGCCATTGGGATGTGGTCAGGGGGCAGCTGCAAGCACACTGCAAGCTTTGTACCATTCCTGTGAATTTAATTTCTGTTTTTGTGTTGCAGCAACACAGAAAAGTGTTGGACAAAGGAAAACCTGACGACGTGATGCCTTCTGTCAAAGGCGTGCAGGTGCGTCAATAAAGCCTTGAGACGCTCAGAGTCACAGAGAGACTTCTCTGTGGTTTGAGGCCCTTCCCACTGGGTCAGTGGTTCCTTGCTGTTGTGGCAGAGGGCTGGAGGGACGGGTGGTCCTTTGCTGAGAAAGCTGGGGGTCTGTGTGTTTCCTGCCCACCCTGGCGTGACCGCTGTGTCTCGTTGCAGGAGCGGCTGCCCACGGTGCCGCTGTCCGGCATGTACAACAAGTCAGGGGGCAAAGTCAGGCTGACCTTCAAACTCGAGCAAGACCAGCTCTGGATTGGTACAAAAGGTGAGCACCTCTCAGCCTCGGGCATGAGCACTTGGTGACGGGGCTGTGACTGAACTGTGTGACCTAGAAAATCTTCTCCTCTGACTAAACTGTGTTTAGGGAATGATGTTGGTATTGCAGCGCTTCAAAAAGCTTTGTTTCCTTTCCTCACGTGCCATTCTCCCAGGGCATTGAATAGTATTTGATACTCCACATCAGTTCCTGAAAAACTGCAGTTCAGTGGTGTCAGCAGACTGAGGGTCCAGGGTGCTGTTCCTGGCTCCAAATGTCAATGGGCATTCTGGCATATCTCAAAGCACTCCATAAGCAGCATGGATTTGATGCCAGCAGTACACAGGGGCCCAATGGCTTAGCCAAGACTTGGAGGGAAAACTCAGAGCTGGGATAGAAACTGGGAGTGTTGGCATCTCTGGCACTCCGTGTCCTTCCAGCTGGAATTATGTGAATGTCTTGTCTCAGTAATGCCCAGCTGTGGTGCTGTGCAGAGGGCTTGGTGTGCAGTGGCCAGTGCTGCCAGGAGGAGCTGGGGATGAGGATGTTTGTGTCCTGGTTGTGGCTGGGATGGAGTTAGTTTTCTTCCCAGGAGCTGTTTTGGGTTGGGATGGGAGCAGTGCTGATAACAGGGGATGTTTTGGTTGTGGCTGTGCAGTGCTCCCCTCGGTCAAGGACTGTTTGGTGTCTCAGACCCTGCCTGTGAGGAGGCATGCAAGGAGATGCAGGGAACTGGCCAGGACAGCTGGCCAGAGCTGGCCAAAGGAACATTTCCCGCCATAGGGCATCGTGGCCAGTATAAACTGGGGGCAGTTGGCTGGGAGGGACTGGTCACTGAAGGGGCACAGGCTGGACATCAGTCAGCAGTGGGGAGCAGCTGTATTGGGCATCTCTGCTTTCTCTGGAGTTTCTTTTTTTTATTTTTTTTGTGACTATTATTATTACCATCAGTAGTAGCAGTATGTTTTACTTTGTTTCAGTCATTAAACTGTTCTTAGCTCAAACCATGCATTTTTCACTTTTTCCCAGTTCTCCTCCCCATCCCAGTGGGGCAGGGGGAGTGAGTGGCTGCCTGGGGCTGAACTGGGATCCCCCACCTGCCGAGGAAGCTGTGCTCCTTCAGTTTGGCTGGGCTGGCCAATATGTAGTCATGAGCAAGAGGGATGAGAGTGCTTGCTCACTGTGCCAGTACAGCAGCCTAACTGGGTGCTTACACTGCCTCCAGCTGCTGCAGTAGGTCCAAAGTAAGCAGAAATCCCCGAAGTTTTTGACCCTTTCTTTGTAGGACAGACTTGACTGTGAAGATTTTCTGGCTTTAAAACCTCTCTAGGTGCCAGTTGCAATGATTTCCTCCTGGGCAAAGTGATGGAGCAAGGCATTGGGGGTGGTTTTAACTCTCTAGATTGGGCAGGCAGATTTTTCTGTTACTGATCCCAGGTTCTAAATCCATGATTAGTATTTAGGGGATTGATCTCTTCCATCACCCCCCAGATGAGTTTCCAAGTGTAGTGTTTCTCAGGTGTTCTACATGGCATTGCTTAAGCTGTGAATTTGATTGTTGTAGTCATGTGTTTCCTGTACCCTGTTTCCCTGCTCCCCTGAGTCAGCAGCAGCTTGCAGCCTCTAGGGAATGGTTGTAATTGCTGGCTGTTATTGGGAAAAACTCCTTCCTCCTCTGAGAAGCCATGGCAGAGGCCAGGCTGGGGTGAACACGTCTGGGTGTTGGCACAGCTTGTCACCTGCTGGCCCTGCAGAGTTGGAGTGGTTCTTACCCCAGCCCTGCAGCCTCACAGGGGTTTGTGCAGGTGTTTGTAGTCTGAAGTTGCACAGAGGCATGGATAATGGGGTTTGTCTGTTGCTGGGATACTCAGAGCAGAAATCTATTTGGGGGATGCTGAACAAGGGCAAAATGGGGTTTTACCTCCTGAATGGAGTCACAGGTCTGAACAGGTAGTACAGAGTGAGCTCAGCTATGAGGCAGAGAATATTTTTCCTTATATCACTATTTATCTCCCAGTGTGCTTTCTGTAGGTAGGTTTGAGGTTTTTTGGATAACAAATTAAATAGATCTGTCTCAAGAGCAGTTTCTCCTTTGTAAAGTGTTTTGGGTATTCTCTGCATTGTATCCAGAAGATAATTTTCAGCTGATGCTGGATGCTTGACCTGGAAGGCAGGACCTTGGAATTGAGTGTGTAGAAAGGAGAGAGGACAGAGCTGATGGGAAAGCTCTGCCCTGGACCACGTTCCTTGTGGCTCTTGTCATTGCCTCTGGCTGCTGATGTTACTCTGCCATGTAACTGTAGTCCTTTTTGGGGCTTCAGTTTCTCTTACCTGTTTCTTTCCCTATTTTCTGTTATATTCCCTTCCCTGTGCTTCTCTGCTCGCTGCCTCAGGGTAAAGCCTGGCCTAAGCTTTCAGAGTTAGGTCAGCTTATCTTTGCCAGCTTTCAGGCTTGCTGTTGAGAGTTCAGTGCAGTCCTTGGCAGTCAGTCCTGAGTGTTCCCATACCTGGACTGGATTCCATAGGATGAGCATCCCTGCTGCTCCAGGGGAGTTCCTTATGGGAAAACATTAAGTAAATCCTGGGATTTCCCATCACTCAGTCTAGGCCCAAATGATGAGCACTGAAATGCTCCGTGTGATGCAGGGGAGCTGTGTGATCCAGGTTTGGGTTCCTTCGCAGTGCTGGGTCCAGCTGTGGGTGTGGGGGGTGTGGTGCTGCAGCCACCACGTCCTGGGCAGCAGGTGTCCAAAACTCACCTGGAGGGGACTCTGCTGGCCTGAGGAGATTTTGGCATTAATGGAGGTGGTGTATGAAATGAATATGAATACTGCTTCCCCGCGTGTCAGAAATAATACTTTGATCAATTTTAATGTAGAGAGAACAGAAAAGTTACCCATGGGGTCCATTAAAAATGTGGTGAGTGAACCTATTGAAGGCCATGAGGATTATCACATGATGGTGAGTAACAGCTCTACTTTAATCATATCCATCTGATTCCTTCATGCAGCACCCACTGCTGAGGCTGCAGGTCAGGGCAGGCTGGAGGTGGATGGTGGTTCCAGCCTTGTGCAGATGGGGACATGGGCTCCTCTCACACTGTCAATATTTTGGGTCCACATTTAATATCTGCAGCTGTGTGGAAATCCAGAGTGTTTTCACACAAACATGAAGTGCTTAAGCATTATTTTGTATCTTCTGACTGTGACAGTGTTAAACCAGTAAACATGTTCACAACATAGCTCATGATTTCTTAACGGTAGGGATATTTTTTGTACCTGGTTTAATGTCTTGATTCTGTGGTATTTATATGAACAACAGACCTTGATGGAGGTTAAGAAAAAAGGGATTTGATGCTGTAATATCTTTTCATACCTGTAATTTTCTGAACAACTCGCATGGGATCTAGCAAAGTTATATTTCAGAAGAGAGCTGTGCTAATGTACTGAAATTTTGGCTGTTTATTTTAATCCATGGGTTTTTTTAAGATCCTGCTTTTCAAAGCACAGTAACTAACTTTTGATGTTGAAGTAAGTTTCTTTTCTATAAGAAGTCTGTTTCCCTCTTTAGGAGGAGGAAAGGGAAATATTTTTTCCTCCCCCTAAAGTCATGGCCTGCAGGAGGGTGCTGCTCTAGTCTCTGTCCAAGTACTTGGTTTTTGACCCCCCCTGTGAGAAGAGATCCTCTTCAGCACAAGTTGCAATAAACTTAGCCCACAGCAAGGGCAGAGGCTCTGGCATGCCATGGTGCCCCTCTCCTGGGCATAGGAGGGAAGTTGAGAGTAGGACATTATGTCTAAACATAAAATCCTGTGGCTATAAAAACATGGTCATTGTCCTGTTTAGTTCCTGTTCGGCTTCTCAGCTCTGAGGTTTCTTTGGAGACTCTGAGTTATGCTTCAGGTTGTCTACCAGAATAATTTCCTCATGTTCTTGAAACTGGCCAGGAGTTGTGGTTGCTGTTGTGATGTTGTAAAAGGGAAGAGCTCATGGTTTCCTCGGCCTCTGCAGCTCTTGTTCTCTGCAATGCTCCTTTAATTGCCCACCAAGGAGCTGTGGAATGCCCCGAGTGCTGCAGGGAGCAGCAGGTGGGACAGGCTGGTCTGGTTTGGCAGTGGATGAGCTGTGCCTGTCCACTGGCACCGGCTCTTTGTTCCCATGTGTAAATGTTGTCATTTTTAATTGCAGGCATTTCAGCTGGGCCCAACAGAAGCATCTTACTACTGGGTCTATTGGGTCCCAACTCAGTATGTCGATGCAATCAAAGACACGGTGCTGGGGAAGTGGCAGTATTTTTGAAAGCACGCTCACCTCTGGCACAGGAAAATGACACAAATCTAAGGACACTGCTGGGAGAGGCCTCCAACATCCCTGGATGTGACAGTCCTGGAACTTATTATTAAAACATGCTAAACGAGGCATGGATGGAAGCCAGAGGTGATGTTCTTTCACCATTAGTTTACTTTTAACTTAACGATTTCACCATCCCTTTTCTGCAGTCAGCTTCAACCATATTTAAAGCAAATACAATGGAAATCAATAAATCTTAATTCACAAAATATTGTGTGTAATACACTTAAATCTGCTGAGAGTTGATCTTCCAGTTTAGTTTTAAAGAGAAAATATTGCAATGTATTATTGAGGATTTTTTACGTGGTTTGAACAAAACCAAATATTTTCATAATCTCTCAGTTATCAGCATTAGACTTACTTTAGTGACTTGGTTGTGAAGGGGACTTTGAGGGGCAGATTTTTAAGAGCTAACTGTAGCAGAGCACAGCGTCGCTGTTGGTGAAGCCATATCCCGCTGGCCCTCCAGGGCAGCCTCCACTCCTTGGTAGCAGAACTAATTCTTTGTTTTAACCCAAAGACGCCCTGCTTGCTTGGGATGTTTCCTGGCCTTTCCCGAGTCTGGCAGCTCCAGGTTGGTCGATGTGGCGTGTTTGGAGCAGGTGAATTGTGCAGGGAGGCTTTGTCGTGGCGGGTGACCCAGTGCTGCCAGCTGCTCCCTCCTGTGCCCGGTCGGTGCTTCACTCCTGCCCTGGGCTGCTGCATTTCGGGAGCATTTTCTTGCTCGTGCATGTTGCAGTCCAGGATCATTTTGCAGCTGCTGCGTTGACACTGAGCTGTTGGACTGGGAACACCCTTGTGCTGCTGGTGTGAGCAGGGGGACGCGGTGGCATGGACGCGGATGGAAACGCTGTACCGCTGCAGCGGGACACAGATCTCCCAAAGGGAGGGAACCACAGAGACCTTCCTGCCCTGTTTGGGGTGGGGGAAGTAAGGAAGAGAGAAGCTCCGAGGCTGTTTTGGATTCTTAATAACAGCAGCAGTCTTTGTGAGCTGGATTTGAAAATTTGTAGTGATGGAATTCAGGTAATTTAGATTAACCATCCAGCGGGGGATGTTCTGAAATGTAAACCACCTTCCAGCTTTTCTCCTGCTCCAGTTCACAAGAAGCCCTCACACCCGATTCTGTCAGAAGGAACGTGCTGTGCCTGGGGCTGTGGTGCTCTGTGTGTCATGCCAGCCATCCATGTGCCATTTCTCTCAGGTGTTCTGAACAGAGCCCTCAGCCCTGCACAGGTGCAAAGCCCATAGCAGGTGGCATTGTGCAGCCAGACTGGAGCAGCTCGCACATCCCTGGGGCTCAGTGCTGCTCCAGGCCAGTAGCTCAAAGCCATGCAGAAACAGCCTTTTAGGAACAGCCAATCTGAATATGCTCCATGTCCACTCTTCCCTCTCCTTGAGGGAAGAGCCCAGTTGAAGCACAGCAGTGCAAATTCCCAAATGAGTATTTATTTTACTTTTATTTTACTTGAGAGACTGGAAAACACATTGGCTTTCTGTAGGTTTTGAGGTCACATGTTTCCCTGTAGCCTCTAGACAGCAGCTTTTAGTTTGCATTTTCTGTTTGAGCAGCCACGCAATATGAGTTTTAAAGGTGTTTCATATCCTACATCAAATCTAGTGCTGTGCTTGTGACTCCTGTAGCTTGGGGTATTTCCTTTCTGTGTACAAGGCAGCAGCAGTGTGTCCTGACACGCGTGGCAGGGCCAGGAGAGCTGTGTCAGCTCCATCACACCTGTCATTTCCTAGTTGTCAGCCCTGGTGTAAAGGCTGAAATTAACAATTGGTTACCTGGTGGAAGGTGTGGGCACTACAGGATAAAGCAGAGGGGTGACACTGGCTCTTTCTGTCACCTGGGGCCACGTTGCCACCTTGCTGGTTCTGTGATGATCAGCTCCCATTTGTTCCTCAGTGTGCTCAGACCTGTCAGTGCATCTCTTTGTGTTCCGTTTCCTTCCCTGTCCCTTCACCCCCTTGCCCCTGGGGAGGGCAGCAGCATTGTGGTGCCCTGGTGCCCGAGTTCAGCCCCTCCCCAGCTCCTGTGCAGGACGCAGCGACCGGGTGAGTAACTCTGGGGCCAGTGGGGACAGGCACTGACCGCTGCTGGGGCACAGGGCACTGCCACACCCCGTGCCAGGGGCACAGCTGCCCCGTCCTGGGCCGCACACAGCCCAGCAGCTCAAAGGAGACTCAGCGCAAACCCCCGGGTTACGTGCAGATTTTAAACATGAAGAAAATACTATAGAGTAAGAAAATGTGATCCTGTTTAGGCGCTTCCTTGCAGGGTGGATCTGATTGGAAAAATGAAAATGTCTCATTTTTTTGTTCTATGTGCAAAATTTGAATTAAAATACAGGAAAGTGACTTATAAATGCTTTAGTTGGTGTTTGTTGGCTCAATATCCCAGGCTTCTTGGGATCTCTTTGAAATGAGTATTCTAGTTGAAATTAGCAGCGCTGCTTTTAGGATCCTTTCTCTTTGGGAATGATGTGGAGTTGGGTATGTTCTGGCATACACCAGTTTTTCCAAGGCAGTTACTGACATTAAGAAACACCCTCTTTTTAGTGGGATAGTGCCACAGTTGCCTCTCAGCCATTGCCTGCCTCTCTCAGCTTTGGATTTTGTTCTGTGGTCACTGTGACCATCCCAGAGCAGACTCAGCATAACCAGTGATCCCAGGGAGGAGTTTGGTCCTCAGTGAGACACAGTGTGTGAGTAAATTGTGAGTACACTTGGAGTTGGTGATAAAGATGGTTCTGAGATCTGACATTCATTCTGTGGGCATTCAGTACCAGCTGCACAGACGTGTATTTCTGTTAAATCACAATTTACCAGGGTGCTCCCAGCAGCGGCTGCTGTGTGTAGGTGTGATTCCCCGGGAGCAGCCTGGGGTGCCACTCCGTGTGAGGTTGCACTGAGTGTTTTCTGGGCTTGCTCATTGCAGGTTAAAGTGTTGGTGAGGCAAATGCAGGTCCCTGCAGGACACAGCTGGTGTTTGCTGTTGGCTGCTCCCAGAGCCCAGGCAGTGTCCCCTCGTTGCTGCCATCTTGGGATTCCTCCTGCCAGTCCCCCAGCTCCTTCCCTACCTTGTTCCATGACACTGGGTACCACAGCTCACCTGTGTGCCATCCCTTCCCCTTTCCGTGCCCAGCACTGCAGGTTTCTCCTCCTCTACTTGTCCCAGGTTCGGTATCCTTTCCTCTGTTGGTGCATCCCAAGTGTAAGCAGTCCCAGGGTCACTGCTTCCTTGGGAATGCAGAAGTGTTGTTGCTCAGCCTGGTTGGGGTTTGAACAGACTGTCTTGCATGAAGAACTTGTGTTACTCGCGTGGTTTCATACCAAGTTTAAAGTAAATGATTAATTTCCATTAATGACTCTGATGAGGAATGTGTAACTACAGTCAGGGTGTTCTGGTGACGGAAGAGAGGGATCTGGATTCAAAGGAGATAAACTCACCACCACCACGCCGTGCTGGTGCCACACACACCCTGCCCAGCTTGCCCCTGCTGGCTGGTGCCCACTGCTCCGTGCTCTAAGGGCCAAAGAGAAACAATTCCCTGCTGCTGCCTGCCCAGGTGCCACGGCGGGGTCTGCTCTGCCCCCGCCACAGCCACGGTCCTGACCCCGCCGCTGCCCCGGGCGCTCCCTCCCTGCTCCCGGCCTTGCAGGGCTTGTTTCCACACTCCCCTCGGTTTACTTTTCTTCCTTTGTAACTTGGTTTTTCCAGTGGAGCCGTTTGCACCCTCAGTTCTGTCCAGCACCTCTCCCCACCTGTTAGGATGAGGCCGCTGGCATCTTGTTTTGTTAGTGAGTGTCCTTGTCACCGGAGGGGACCAGGAGAGCCCTAGCAAGGCTGGTATGAAACGTGGCCATTTTACCTTCTAGCCAAGGATTCCTCTTGGTAGCTCATGGAAGTTCACTCTGTCTTATCCATACTCTAAGCGATTAATTCTTTGGTTTTATATTTAAAAAAACCAACTTAGATATTTGTGTTCACTGCAGATTTATTTTAAATGGAATATGTGAGTACCATGTATTATGGTATTTTTAAATAATCTATTGCCTATTTTGGGGGGAGGGAGATGACAAATATTTAGTCTTAGATTTGCACTGCTGGATTTTTTTAAGTGTAACCTTGACTGGTTATCCTGGTGTTTTATTCTGTAAGATTAGTCTTATGAATTAAAGTTTGATAATTAAGTATCTCCGTGTTTGAGTGTTTCAATATTCTGTATGTACTGAACTGCTTCCTCCTGCATGAACAACTGTGAGCAAAAGGTTTGTAGTGAGTTTCTTTGCAGGAAGATGGACACAGGCCTAAGTTCAGGAGACCCCACACCCGGTGGCACATCAAAGCCGTGGGTGCCCATCTCCCACGTTGGGGATTTGGGTTCTGCTGCCCTGTGCCACTGCACACACACAGGCTGTGAATTACGGGATGGTCTCTACCTCCCTGCCCAAAGCCGGGCTTTAATCTGCTTTTGCACCGAGCTGGGCCGGTGCTGCTGTGGTGTCACGGTCACACTTGGGGCCATTGAACAGCCCCAAGCGGGTGCTCGGAGCAGCCCCAGTGCAGGGCGTGCGGCACCCTCGGCACTGCCGTGCTGAACCGGTGCTGCTCGGGATTGCCGTGCTGAACGGGCACCCTGGGATTGCCGTGCTGAACCGATCTGCTCGGCGTCGCTTCCCCCTTTAGACAGCTGCTGTCCCACCCAAAATCCCCATCTCAGTCGGGTCGGTAGCCCCAGTTGGCGCTGCCGTTCTCCCAGCTACCCGCGGGCAGCTCCTGTTCGCCGTGGTGCCCGGTGTGCCCTGGCTCTCGGTTCCAGCGGTCCGTGGGGGCGGGGTCCCAGCGCAGCCCCCGGTCCCCGCTGTCCTCGGGCCGAGCTCCCGGCACACGGGGCTCAGGAGGGCGGCAGGAGCCGGCTCCTCCGCCGCTACCGCCGGGAGGGCTTCGCCCGCCTTACCGGCCGGAGGAACCGCCCTCGGCTCGGTGCCCGCGGCCGGGCCGGGGCCGGTGCCCAGGGCGGGGGGACGCGGGGCTGTGCGCTGAGCGCGGCTCCTCCCGCGGGGCCGGAGGGTGGCGGGGCGGGGAGGCCGGCGGGCCCGCGGGCCGGGGTGCGTGTGCGGAGCGCGGGGGGCGGAAGCCGCGTCCGGGACCCGCCCCGGCCCCGCTGACTCACGGCGGCCGCGCGGCCCGGCCCGGCCTGGCCTGGCCGGGACATGGGACATGGGCGGCCCCGGCGCGCCGCGCCCGCGGGGGCTCCGGGGGCTCCTGCCGCCGCTACCGCCGCTGCTGCCGCTGCTTCTGCTGCTGCGCCCGCCGCCCCCGGCACAGGTACGGCCGCCGCTGGCAGCGGGGGTGGGACAGCGCCCGGGAGGGGACAGTGCGGGAGGACAGCGCGGTCCCGCGTAGCTCCCGGTGCTCCCGGTGCTCGCCGTGCCCCGCGCGTCCTGCGGGAGGGCGCCCGGCACTCGGTGCCCGGGCTGTGACAGGGGCGCCCCGCGCTCGGGGCAGGTGCGGCAGCGCGGGCGGGAGCGGCCGCGGGTGCCCCCGGGCAGCGGGGCCCGAGCGGGGGCACCCCGTGGTGCTCGGGGTGCGGGTGAGGGGCCGCGGTGCCCGCGGGGCCGGGATGCTGCCGGGACCCGCGGCCGCTCGTGGGCGCGTTGGCCGCGGTGCGATGGAGCGCCGGGCTGTCGCCCGGGCCGGGGCCCCTGCGGCACCCAGAGCGGGGATTGTTCTCCATCCTCACCCCTGGGCCCGGCTGTGGCGGCAGCGGAGTCCCCTTCCCCCTCTGCCTGGTCCTGCTGCCTGTCAGGGTGGTGCCTTCGGAGCCGGATCCGGCTCCTGCAGCTGGTGGCGGTTCAAGTGGATAGGCAGCGTGCCAGGGCGGCTTTGGATTACACGGCTAGAGCTGCTTCACTGGAGGAAGCAGAAGATGCTGGCGCCGAGTTTCTGTCTGTGCTTGGGCATCCCTCTCTATCCATCCTTGGGGGAGTGAGGTGCCCCGAGCCCCCGGCTGAGCTCAGCCCCAGCAGCATCGCTGCAGAGTCCGGAGTGCTGTGGTGGAACCTCGGGAAAGCTCCTGGGACAGCCCGTGGGAGCAGCCACACTTGTGGGCTGGGGCTGGGACCAGCGGGAGGGTGGCAGCTCCCAGGCACCCAGTGCTCCCAGTTCTGCCCATGGTGGTTTATGGGGAGCAGGCAGGCAGCCTGGCCTTTGCCCGAGTGCCCTGGCACCAAAACACTTGCAGAAGGGATGGAAAAATCCCCAGTGCTTCAGGGGGGAAGGAAGCAGAGAGCCCTGATGGCTGGGGGGGCCCGGCAGTCTCAGTTTCCCCCGGGCAGGTGGCCACACTGCAAGAGCCCCTGTCTGCCAGCCTGGCACGTCCCCAGCCAGCAGCAATCCCTCCTGCATGGCCATGGGGGGTGCAGGAGCCATGCTGGGGAGCAGTTCCCTGCCGTGTCCTCTGGGCAAAGCCAGAGCAGGGAAACTCACTCTGACCTCACCTGATAATGAAGCAAAAAGAAGTGCAAATGAAAGAACTGGGCTGGAGGCGCAGAGGTTGATATGAGGCGCATTGTGAGGGAGGTGTGTGTGCTCCTGTGCTTTGTTGCAGCTGAAGGAATCTCCTGGCCCTGCCGTGCCACAGCCACTCTTGTACTGTCAGTGCTGCTCTGCAAATGGGCTCAGGCTCGCATGCGGGTCCTGGCTGGGCACAGGCCACTGGCTGCTCCCTGCTCCACAGCCAGGACAGGCCCCCAGGACAGGCTGTGCCAGCTCAGGCTCCCCGAGCAGCGAGGGCACTGCTGAGGGGCTGGTCTCCTGGGGTGTCCTTGTGCCTCTCACACTGACCTGTGGCCAGCCAGGGCCTCAGTGCTGCTGCCAGATCCTGGCACTGGGGACTGCCAGAGCCGTGTGTGTCCCGTGCTGTTTGCCCATCCCTGTTTGCTGACAGGGCGAGGCTGGCATGCGTGGCGCTGGCTGAGCTGGCACTCGCTATGCAGACGCCATACGTGGAAGCAGCAGCTCCTCTTCCCAGGTGAATTTGCAATTACTTCCTCAATGTCAGGCAGCTGAAACCTGCAGCTCTGAAGGCCCAGGCAGGCAATCATCACTTCTCTGGCATGAAAAGTCACCAGACTCGTTTGTTTCTGGAAGGAGCCGGTGGTCAGGCTGCTCTTGTCACCTTTAGAAAGGCATCCAGGGTTGTGACTGGGAACAGCCACACTGCAGTTCATCCCACCTGTGGGAAAACTCGTTCCAGGGAGCGGAGGGAGAGGGAAAGCTGCTCCAGCCCCAGGATGGCTGAGGTGGGATGTGAGCCAGGGGAGCCAGGGGCTGTAGGGGCGGGTGGTGCCAGTCACTGAGGGTGCAGCTGCCCCAGGAGCTGAGCTGCACAGAGGAGCTGGGCTGGGGGATTGCTCCCAAGTCTGGCTGATCTCTTGAGGATGCTGTGTCTGTCCTAGAGCCTCAAAGGCGGTGCTGTGACTGTCCCAGAAACGCTGCTCTTCATCTCCACACTGGATGGGAACCTCCACGCTGTCAGCAAGAGCACAGGGGACATCAAGTGGACCCTGAAGGATGGTGAGTACTGACTAGGCATTTGCTTACAGCCCAGCTCCTGGGGCATATTTGGGGTCTGGGAATGCTCCCCTGGCCTGGCTTTTGCTGGATGGGCTCTGGGCTGCCAGTGCTTCCAGTCTGGGGTGCGCTGCCAGCCCCGGCCCCAGGCACAGATGAGCATCTGCCTTTGTGTCTCTTTTGGCTCTGAAAGGCAAACAGGCTGCGTGGCTGGGCTGGGTGACAGTGCCACGCTGGGTAAACAGTGGTGTTGTGCTGTCCCACTCACAGCAGCGCTGCTGATGTGGCCTCTCACTCTCTGTTTCAGATCCCATTCTGCAGGTGCCGGTCTATGTGGCAGAGTGAGTGTCACCCCCACTGGGCAGTGCAGGAGGCTCCCTGATAACTGATGGAGCAACAGCAGGAAAGGGGAACCACAGAGAAATGAAATGCCCAGCCCATGCCGTGGCGTCCCCTTACCCTGTCCCTGGTGCTGGCACATGGTGATGAGGAGGAGCTGGCACCTGCTGCACAGCCGAGGAACTCTCAGCTCCACTGCACACACCAGCATGGAGAGAAATAGAGGGAAATCCCCCTGACAGCTCAGGGGCAGGCGGGCAGCGAGAGCTCCTTGAGACAGGCAGGGCATCCGCCGGCCTGGTGGATGGGCACTGGGTGGCTGTGGGAAGTCCCAGGACTGACCAGAGTGGGATTTATCTCCTGCAAAACCCAGTGCTGCAGGTGCCCAGGAAAGGTCAAGTCCTGCAGGGACTCACCCTGGAGCAAGCCGCTAAAGGGGATTCTGCATTGTAGCCACTCTGTGTCCTCGGAGGTGCCTGGGGCAGGGAGTGGCTCACGTTTTATCCCTCTCTCGTGCTTCCCAGGCCAGCATTCCTTCCAGACCCCAATGACGGCAGCCTGTATATCCTGGGAGGAAAGAACAAGGAAGGCTTGATGGTCAGTAGGGCTGTGTGGCCGTGGGCACGCTGTGAGCCCTGGGGTCCCTGGGCTGCAGGGTGACCCTGTCCTGCTCCTGTGTTGCAGAAGCTGCCGTTCACCATCCCGGAGCTGGTGCAGTCCTCGCCGTGCCGCGGCTCGGACGGGGTGCTGTACACCGGTACGGACCCTGGGGTGCGCAGGACAGCCCTGCCCCGGCCCCAGGAGCTGTGCAGGGCACAGGCAGGGCTCAGAGGGAGCGCCTGGGGACAGGGGACTGCGGGGGCTTACAAAGAAGGCATTTTCCTTCTCAGGGAAGAAGCAGGACAGCTGGTTCATTGTGGACCCCAAGTCAGGGCAGAAGCAGACCACCCTCTCAACAGAGGCCTGGGATGGTCTGTGCCCATCCAGCCCCTTGCTCTACATCGGACGGACCCGTAAGTGCCCCCATCGACCCCCTGGTGCCAGGAATGGGGCCCTGGAGGTGACCTCGTGCCCTGCTGCTGTCCCCAGAATACGTCATCACCATGTATGACACCAAGTCGCGGGAGCTGCGCTGGAATGCCACCTTCTCCGAGTACTCGGCCCCGCTCTGCGAGGAGTCCTACCAGTACAGTGAGTGCAACTGCAGTGGCAGTCATGGCACTCGGCTCCCCAGTGCCCACTCCAGCAGGACTCTGGCTGTGCAGGGGCCTGGGGTGGCAGTGCCAGGGCCAGCAGGGCTCAGCTGTGCCCATTGCTGGGGACAGCAGGCAGCAGCCCACGACCAGTGGCGGAGCTGAGGGTGACCAGAGGAGACACAGCCAAAGTGCTGCATCCCTCATCCCTCTTGCTCTCTGCAGAAATGGCACACTTGGCCTCAAGCGGCGACGGGCTGGTGGTGACCCTGGACAAGGAGAGCGGGGAGGTCCTGTGGGCGCAGAACTACGGCTCACCTGTGGTTGGCATCTACCTGTGGCACCAGGACAGCCTGCGCCGCCTGCCCCATCTCAACGTGGCCATGGAGACCCTGCGCTACCTGACCTTCCAGTCACAGGACATCCACGTCCTCAAGTGGAGCTACCAGTCCGTCAAGGACTTCCCTGCCACCAAGACCCAGCTGCTGTAGGTGGTTCCTGAGCGGTGGCAGCCAGTGGCATTCGTGTTCCCCGTGCTCGGCCACCCTGGTCCGTGGCGGATGGAAGGTGATGCTTGTCCTTGCCCTGCAGGCCGGCGCTCTATGTGGGGAAGCATGCCACCAGTTTCTATGCTGTGACCTCCCTGGTGCACGGCAGCGTGGCGCTGGTGGTGAGTGTCCCCTGTGCCCCGCTGGAGCCACCACGGCGTGTCCGGCCGCCTGGTGCCCCACGAGCTGCCACGTCCCCAGCCCCAGGGCATCACGCTGGCCAGGATCGACGGCCCCACCACGGAGGACGTGACCATGAGGGAGTCCGGGGAGTGCGAGATCACGCCCAGCACGGACGTCAAGTACCCGCAGGGCAGCATCGCCTCACCTCCCAACCAGTGGCTCCTCATAGGTGCGGAGCTGTGGTAGGCACAAGCTCACCCATGTCCTGGCTCCCAGACAGTGCCCGGGGGGGAACACCCTGAGCTGCTGCTGTGCTTTGGGGACAATAGGCAACCTGCTCTGCCCAGTGGGGACCCTTTGAAGCAGGGCTCACAGTTACCCATGCTGGGGGTCCCATGAGAAGCAACCCCCCTACTCCAGGAGAGCCAGGGCTGCTGGCAAGGGATGGGTGCTGAAACCAAGAGGGGAACGGAAGGTTGTCTCTGTTCCCCTCCTGCCACAGGGCACCATGAGCTGCCTCCTTTGGTCCACACCACGATGCTGAGAGCCTTCCCAGAGAACCTGAGGAAAACCACGGAAACCATCATCCCCAGGGCTCCTCCCAGCAGGACCGTGTTCGACGATGTGAGTGGTGAAGGGTGCTGGGTCACTGAGGGGTCTGTGCTGCTTGGGGTGGGCAGTGGGTCCCCAGCATGGGACAGGACAGGAAGGAGGTCCCAAAGCCAAGTGCCCTGCGGTCTGTGCCTCTTGTGTCACCAGCCCTGGGTGTGTGTTGCAGTTCCTGTCCCCCAGCAGCCCCGAGGAGCCAGCTGTCCGCAGCGAGGGGCAGCTCCAGCCAGACCCTGTGCCGGGGGAGCAGCTGGAGGTGTACCCCGAGTCTGGCACCTGGGACCTGGTGATGGCTGGCGTTGGCACGGCTCTGCTGGGCGGGGGAATCCTGATCCTGCTGTTCATGGTGAGTGCTGCTGGTGGAGGGAGAGGGACACGGAGCCGATGCCCAGCGTGGCTCCAGGCTCTGAGTATTCCCATGGTTTGTGTTCCAGAAGATGCAGCGGCAGCACGTGGCCCAGCAGCAGCAGCTGGAGGAGCAGATACAGCTCCTGCAGCAGCAGCAGGAGATGCTGCTCTCGGGCCGAGTCTCCAGGGAGGGCGTCCCTGAGGAGCCCGGGGAGCTGGAGCTGAGCCAGGGCAGCGCCTCAGAGCTCTCACAGAGCTCCAGCCCCTCCGCCTGCCTGAAGGAGCTGGCTAACGGGACAGTCAGCCCAGAGCCAGCTGTCCCAGTGCCTGCTGAAGGTGGGTGCAGGGGAACGGGCCGGCTGTGGGGGCTTCTGTCCAGAGGTGCCAGCACCTAGAGCAGGTGCAGGGATGCCTGCAGATGAGAGGGCTGCAGCCTGCCTGGGATGGGAGGAGGTGCCAGATCTGCTGCTGGATAAGCATGGGCTACATAAGAGTAGGGCCCAAGAAATGGCCGGATGAATAGAGAAACAGGTGTCCTCTGTACAGAACTAATGCTTGGAGGCTGGAAGATGGCTGTCTTCTCTCCCTTGCAGATGCAGAACCAGACCTGGTTGTAGTTGGGAAAGTTTCTTTTAACCCCAAAGACGTGCTGGGCCATGGAGCTGGAGGAACCTTTGTCTTCAGGTGGGTGACACTGCTCCCTTTCTCCCTGGGAGCCACAGGGATAGTGACAAGGCAGGTCAGGGTGGTAGCCACTGGTTCAGGGACTTTTGATAGCTCACCCCCTTCACCTTCTTCTGGTCCTCATCCCACCCATCCTGGAGCTGGGCTCGTGGCCCTCACTGACCAGGCACTGGGTACACAGGGCAGGTCCCCCTTGCACCCCTCCCTGCCTGCCTGCGCCTGCTCTGGCTCCTTGCACAGTTCCTAGGCTCTGGCTGAGCCCCTTTTCCAGCACTGAACACAGAAAAAGTGAGGGATGTAATTTTCCTATGAAGTGGAGACCCTCCATTTCCCAGCTTACACTGGGAAGATTCCTGTCGGTGATGTGACAAGGCTTTGGGGTGCAGCAGTGTGGGTACAGCATGCTGGGCACCCTGTGGGTGAGGGTGGCCGGGCCCTGCCCCGCAGCACACGGGCACAGCAGGACTCTGTGCACAGGGGGCGGTTCGAGGGCCGCAGCGTGGCCGTGAAGCGCCTCCTGCCCGAGTGCGTGCACCTGCTGGAGCGCGAGGTGCGGCTGCTGCGCGAGTCCGACGAGCATCCGCACGTGGTGCGCTACTTCTGCACGGAGCGGGACCGGCAGTTCCACTACATCGCCATCGAGCTGTGCTCCGCCACGCTGCAGGAGGTGAGCCGGGCCCGGGAGCCCTGCAGGCACCGGCCTCGGGCACAGACTGCCTCTGGGGAGCTCCTCTGCATCGCCCCTCGGGCACAAACTGCCTCTGGGGAGCTCCTCTCCATCGCCCCCATCACACTGGGGTGGGTGTCTCTCCAGCCAGCCTGCCTTTGCTCAGTAAACCAGGCTTAGTTCCTCTCCTGCTGTGTGGTTCCAGTACGTGGAGAGCCCCAGCTTTGAGCGCCGTGGGCTGGACCCGGTGTCCGTGCTGCGTCAGACCATGTCGGGGCTGGCCCACCTGCACTCCCTCAGCATCGGTAAGGGCCAGCAGTCCCCTCTGCACCCCTCCTCAGCAAATGCTGCGGGGTTTGGCAGGACTGGGGCTTCAGCAGCACATGGGGCTGTGGCAGAGCCCTGCTTGCTCCAGCCCTGCCAGGTGACACCACAGCCTCTCACTTGCAGTGCACCGTGACCTGAAGCCCTGTAACATCCTCATCTCTGTCCCGAACCGCCACGGGCAGATCCGCGCCGTCATCTCCGACTTCGGCCTTTGCAAGAAGCTCCAGGGGGGCCGGCAGAGCTTCAGCCTCCGCTCCGGGATCCCCGGCACTGAGGGCTGGATCGCGCCCGAGGTGCTGCAGGACGCCCCGAAGGAGAACCCTGTCAGTGAGCCGTGGCCCCCCTGCCCCGGGTGCTCCTTGGGCCCACTGTGGCGTGTCCCCCATGCTGGCAGTGGCCTCGGGTCACACTGCTGGGGTACACAATTACGATGAGAGCTCCATGAGCCAGAGCCAGCCCAGACACAGGCACTGTGCTCCTTGCCGGGGTTGTCCCCGTGCCCCTGCCCTTGTGGGACAGTGCCCAGCTGTGCTCAGCACAGGTGTCTCATTAGGCTCCATTAGTCCTCAGAAATTCTGGGGTGGGGAGGTTGGAGGGGCTGTGAGATGCTGGTTTCCTTGCCCTTTGCCCACGAGCCCCCCTGTTTTTCAGACCAGTGCTGTGGACATCTTCTCAGCCGGGTGCATCTTCTACTACGTGGTGTCGGGGGGCCAGCACCCCTTTGGGGACAGCCTGCGGCGCCAGGCCAACATCCTGGCGGGCTGCTACCAGCTGAGCTGCCTGCAGGAGGAGGCTCACGGTGAGACCCGTCCCCACGGGGAGGCTCCGGGCTGAGGGCAGCTCCCTCTCCCGGCACAGGGACGAGCTCGCTGCTGTTCTGCTTCACCCCCAGACAAACTCGTTGCGAGGGAGCTGATTGTGGCGATGATCAGCGCCGAGCCCCAGCGCCGGCCCTCGGCCCCTGTGGTCCTTGTGCATCCCTTTTTCTGGAGTCAGGAGAAGCAGCTGCAGTTCTTCCAGGTGAGCCTCTGCTCTCCCACTGGCAGTGAATGCAGGTGTGCACTGAAAAACGTGCTGGAAACTGCTGCATTTAGGTCAACATGCTCCTTGTGAGCTACTCTTGGGAGGGCTGGGGTGTCCCTGGGTCTCTGTCCCACCTCGTGCAGAGCAGGGGCAATGCCATACGCACCTCTTGGGCACACAGGACGTCAGTGACCGTGTGGAGAAGGAGCCAGCCGAGGGGCCCATTGTCTCAGCCCTGGAATCGGGGGGACGGGCGGTGGTGAGGACCAACTGGAGGATGCACATCTCCCTCCCGCTGCAGATGGGTGAGCATGGAGGGGCCAGGCTCATCACTGGGCCCAGTGAAGCAGTGGGGCTTCAGGGGCTGGTGCTTTTACTGGCCAGCAGGCACCTGCTTGTGCCCAGGAACCAAAAGCGGGGCAGGTAAAGGTGGCAGCCCTTCCTTGGGAGGCCACAGTGCAGCAGGGCTGGGGCTGGCGCTACAGGGCTGTGTCCCCCCTCACTCTGTGTCTCCCCTGCTGTCCCCAGACCTGAGGAAGTTCCGCACCTACAAGGGAGGGTCAGTGCGTGACCTGCTGCGGGCCATGAGGAACAAGGTACGGCCACCCAGCTGCCCCGTGGCCCTGCCACCCCCACTGTCCCCATCCCCTCTGACATCCCCCTCTCTCCTGCAGAAGCACCACTACCACGAGCTGCCGGCCGACGTGCGGGTGGCCCTGGGCTCCGTCCCCGAGGGCTTTGTGGAGTACTTCACCTCCCGCTTCCCGCGGCTGCTGCTGCACACGCACGGGGCCATGCGGCTCTGTGCCCATGAGCGCACCTTCCGCTCCTACTACTGCCAGGGCCTGAGGGGCGACGGCGCCTGAGGGCCGCGGGTCACACACGAGAGCTGTGGGCCATGCCTGAGGGCTGCGGGTCAGGCCTGAGGGTTGTGGGTCACTCCCAAGGACCGTGGGTCATGCCTGAGGGCCGCGGGTCACACACGAGAGCTGTGGGCCATGCCCAAGGGCTGTGGGTCATGCCCGAGGGCCACAGGACACACACGAGAGCTGTGGGCCATGCCTGAGGGCTGCGGGTCAGGCCCAAGGGCTGTGGGTCACTCCCAAGGACCGTGGGTCATGCCTGAGGGCTGTGGGTTGTGCCCGAGGGGCAATGGCACCTGAGGGCCACGGGTCACACCCGAGAGCCACAGGTCATGCCCGAGGACTGTGGGTCAGGCCCAAGGACTGCGGGCCGTGCCCGAGGGCTGTGGGTTGTGCCTGAGGGGCAATGGTGCCTGTGGGCTGCAGGTCACACCTGAAGGCTGTGGGTCAGGCCCAAGGACCATGGGCTATGCCCGAGGGCTGTGGCTGCTGCTCCCCGCCCGGGCCCTCTCTTGGTGCCCTGCTGCCAGCCAGGCGAGGGCTCAGCAGGTGAGGGATGGGACAGCACCGTGCTCTCACCTGGGGGACCCTCTGGGCAGCCAGCACTCTGCCAACACTCAGCCAGACTCAGGTGTGAAGGCATTTGGGTCAGAAAACAAAGACATCTCAAGTGGATACAGTGCTTGGAGAAGAAAGAGGAAAACACATTGTGTTTTCACAGTGGGGCCCTGGCTCAGCGATACCCTCAGGCTGCCATCAGCCTCAGGGGACATGCACCAGGAACAGGAGGCTTTATCCCACAGGTTCTCTCCTGTGCCAAGGGCCTGGGGACACAACTCCTTGAGCTGTGCCCAGGACCAGTCCTGACACTGGAGCTGCCCCTCAGCCGTGGCAGGGCTCTGCTCACCAGGCCAGGCTCAGCAGCCACCCTGGGGCTGGGACCTGCCCATGGCACCCAGACTGTGGGGGCACAGCCCCACAATGGAGGTGTGAATCTCCGCTGTGCCCAGAACAGGGCTTTCTCCCTTAGGGGCCCCAGCAGCCTGTACCTGTGCCAGGCCTGGTGGCACAGCAGTCCAGGAACAGTTGTCTCTGGGCACAAAGAAGGGAGTTCCTTGCCCCTGGGATCCCTCTCTCAAAGACAGTTCCCCCAGCCTCTCCTGCTGCCCAGGGCAGATATCCCATGGGTGCTGTGGTTCATGGCATGCCCATGGGCATGTGGGCCCTGGGAGCCAGCCTCCAGCACCAGCTGAGCCCATGGGCACAGAGAGCCCCACAGCAAAGCTCCTCTGTGGAACAGCAATAATTTTGTATAGTTTGATTCTTCTGTGTACTGGGGTGTGGGATTTTGTTACACAGATAACAGGGTTTGTACCAGATTTCTTTTCAGAATGTATTTATACAAAATGTTATAAAAAATTAAAAAACATCAACTAAAGATTGTCCTGCTTATAAAAACAAACTGGCCTAAGAGCACCTCTAGTTGCTGGCAGGGATGGTGGAGTGCAACAGGCAGGTCACTGGGCTCCTGCTGCCTGAGAGGACTTGTGCTGATTCTTTAGCCATAATTAGTCATGGAGCCAAGGAAGAGGCAAGCCCAGGCCAAGGGCAAGAGGATGTCTCATTGAGAGGGGGAAGCCAGAGCAGTGCTATCCCCTCTCTCAGCAAGGCAAAGGGAAGTGAAACAGCCTGGATGCTGTTTAACAATCTTTATTCAAGTTATGAAATATACAAAAGTTGAGGTTTCATGGAGTTTCAGCATTAAAAGGTCAATTGCTCAAATCTCACCCCGGGCTTGTTCAATACCTTACCTGAGCTTCTGAGAGGAAACGAAGCCCAGAGCACGGGCACAGCCATGTACAGACACCTCACTGCCAGCTCTGCTCTCTCAAGAGCAGCCCCAGGCACCTCAAACGAGAGGGCTGGTTTGGAGCTGGGTTTTTGGCTTTGGAAAATTAGAAAAACAGACTAGGTAGGGAGTTTAAAAATACACTTTGTTAGGAGCAGGAAGCAAGAAACCTTTGGGCACCAGTCAGTGAACAACACCATTCCCACAGCAGCAGGGCTTCCTCGGAGCAATGAGCCCAGACCCAGGAGTAGGAACCCAGCCGGGCCGCGGGAGGGAAGCTGCCAGACCTCTCCCTCCACAGCTGGGCAGTTTGGCACCGATGTCGAGTCCGGCAAGAACGAGGTCTAGGAGGAAGATTTCACCCGGCCCGAGCCAGACTTGGAGCTGAGGAGCTTCTCCACCATGGTGCGTGCGTAGCGCAGGCGGCTGGCCAGCTCGCGGCAGCAGCCGTGCTCCTCGATCAGGCTCAGCTTGTACGTGCTGAAGTCCCGTTTCTCATCTATGTATGTCACAGCAGCCATGAGAGGGCACAGGATGATCTTGGTGTGGTCCTGGGGGGAGACAACACACACTCACTGAGCACCGTGCTCCTCGGGGCAGCATTTCCTCTGCACGAGCCATCTCGGCACACCCGGAACGTGTGACAAAACCCCTCTGCCGAATTCAGAGTGCAGCAAAGGGCAACAGCTCCAGAGCACAGCCCCTCACAAGTGAGGACACTGGGGGCTTTAGACAGCAGCACAGACAGCTCCCAGTGCCGAGCTCCCTGGGCAGTCTTGGCTCAGGTCATGCCCTCCTGCCGCCATCCAAGCAGCACCACGTGCAGCCAGCGCCACGGCCCTGCAGAGAGCCTCACCTGGAAGAAGTTGATCTGCACGGTGCCGTTGCTGAGGTGCAGGATGATGGCGCTGCGGGTCCGGAACCAGGTGCACAGGTAGGGCAGCCGGGCCAGCTCGTCCCCTTCCCGTGGTGTGATGTTCGCCCCCGCCTTCAGCAAGTGCTCGCTCATGTAATTCCGGAAGTACTTCAGTAGTGTTATCTGCAGAAGGGACGGGCTGTGAGGGGCTGAGGGTGACCCCAGGCACGGGGGAGGAGCACAGGGACAGCCATCACAATCCCCGACCCTCCTTACATCTTTCAGAGCTTGAGGTGCTATGGCAAAAACTTAAGGAAATCCTCAAAATTAACTCTGACCGTGACACATCAGACTCACTTTGCTGAATACTTTGGTACATGCAAGTCATGTGAGCACTTAAATTTCTGTGAAACTGCTCATAAATGAGCCTCAGATAGCAGCTAGAGCTACTAGTGTCCCATGTGTCACCAGCTAGAGGAAGCCTGCAAAGTGCCAGTGGCCTCTAATAAAAGTTTCTCCCTGGAACCCACCCTGCCATCCAAGCCTAAGGGTGGCAGGGGTCTCACCACCCCCAGCCAGGGCTCCTGCCCCCAGGACTGACCTTCTTGTTGAGGTTAGAGGGGTAGGACCTCACAGTGAAGTAGGACTCAGTGTTGTTCTGCTCAATGTACTGCAGGTTGTCCCCATCGTTGTACATGATGAGCCGAGAGGAGTCATTGAAGAGAACCCCAACGCTGTTGTCACAGAGCTGGTAACCTGCCCAGAAAGGACCCCATGAGATCTTGGGGGACCACAGGTGGTGGGAAGTACCAAGGCAGATGGTTTATCACCCAGGGATTCCCTAACAGCCATCCCACCAAGGCCCTGCCAGGTCTGCTCTTTGGGGAGCTCTGGCTGGCACTTTTCCACCTCTGGATTTGTCATCTCCCTTATTGCATCAGCTGCTTCAAAAACAGCCTCTGCTGCCACCATGGATCCCCGTTCAGGCTGGGGAGAGCCTGGTCACCTCATGCACAGGTACCATTGTCCACATTAAAGTGGCCAGGGCTGATGGTCAGCGACCACTGCTCTGGATTCCCGGGGTATTTGGTAAGATTCCTGGCAGTGCTCTTGGACACATACACTGGAATATGGCGATTAAAAACCCAGGCCTAGGAAATGCCCCAACCCAGGCTTCTCCCAGCCTCCTCAGACACAAGGAAAGCCTGAAGCATTGCCACCCATGGTATTTACCGAGTCCATATTTATCCGAGTAGTCCACCCATTTGCTAACCCAGAAGATGGGAATGCAGGCCGGGTCCTCAGCTTCTTCTGCAGGAAGAAAGCAGCTTGTTAGGGGACCTTTTCCACAGCCAGTGCACCCCACGAGGCCCATGGGCTGCCCCAGGCTCACCTTGCCTCACTGCTACTCGCTCCGAGGGCTTGGCTGCATTGACTGCAGTCAGCTGCTGCAACATGTCAGCCAGGTGGCAGCTGACAGCATCTCCCACCTCCCGCAGCCCCGCTGCCTCCTCCTTCTCCAGCAAGGGCTCCTGGGCAGGGCTGTCCAGTCCTGGGCAGAGAGACAACACTGAGATGTGACCAGGGTGGGACATGAGCAGGGTAATTCCAGAGCACGGGACGTGTCCAGAGGATTCCGGAGTATCTCCAGTGAGGGAGACTCCACACACCCTCTCTAGGCACTCTGTTCAGTGCTTGGGCACTGCACAGGAGAGGTCTTCCTTGTGTTCTGGTGGAACTTCCCAGGCATCAGTCTGAGCTCCTTAGAGAGCTGAAGCGAATGCAGCGCTTCATCCCGGGCAGAGCAGGGAGAGCCCCCTCACCCACAAATGCTCTGAGTTCCCATAAGGATCAGGAGATGATGCGAGGGAGGCACACTGAAGGTTGTAGATGCTGCTGGAGGCCGGGCAGGCTGTGCCCGGCCCCGCGGCCCAGCTCACCCGGGCACCCACCCCTACCTTTATTGAGCGCGGTCAGCGGCTTCCGCCCGCTGAGCTCCAGGCTGCTGGGAGCCAGGGAGAAGCGGGGAGCGATGGTGAGGCAGCTGGTGGGCAGGCGGCTGGGCAGGTACCCCGAGGTGAAGAACTCGTCGTTCAGCAGCTCGTCGACGGTCGGGCGCGTGGCGGGGTCTGACCTCAGCATCTTCTGGATGAGGTTTGCGGCCACGGGGTTGATGTGCTGAGGGACAGGCGGAGTTTAGAGACGGGTCAGGGACAACGTGCACTAGTGACAGATGAACGGGGTTTGCAGCCTGGGGAAGCTCCGCCTGGAGCAGAGCTCCGGTGCTGCATCGGGCAAGCAGGACAAGCCTGGGGAAGCAGAACTGGGTGGCACAGAGAACTGGCTCTTAACAGAACCAAAGCCTGGGGTCAAATGACTGGAGCAACACCAACTCATCAGCAGTGGGGTGAGCCGGGGACCTGGCCCAGACCTCATGGACTTGCCCATGTCCATTCACCCCCACACACCAGCAGCCCAGCTCAGATTTTTGCTGGATTGCAGGGCAGGGAGCTGCTGGCTCCCCACAAGGCTCACACCACCCCAGCCTGAGAGCCCCTGCCCTGCTATGGAGAGCCCATGGAGTGGCAGACGCAGAGGCTGCAGCAGGAGGCTCACCAAGCACCGCCGTGAGCCAAACAGACGCTCCATGGGAAGTGGCATACCTTGGGAATGGTGTACTCGTTCTTCTTGATCCGGATGTACGTGTCCTTCAGGCAAGAAGTCTCAAAAGGCGGTTTCCCCACCAGCAGAGTGTACCTGGGCATTCCCAGACAAAAGGGTGTCAGTTTTGCCAAAGAGACTCAGATTGTGCACAGGAGCAACCATGTCCTAAGCACACCCAGGGGCTTTCCTGGCAGAGGGAACATGCTTAGCATTAAGACACACTGACAGCTACGTGTACTGTGCCTGGATCCTGTTCCCTGGAAAGGGAAGCTGGGATCTAGCACCCTGCAGGGAATGCTTCAGTTGGGGAAGGTTGGGAGCTGCCTGGCAGCAGGACTCAGCACTGTGGGGACAGTGACCTGGAGCTCTGGATTACACTGAAGCTCAGAGGGGCCACGGAGATCAGAACAGGGATTGCCCAGCTCCATGCCCTCTGAAAGGCAGTTTGACTCACATGATGCAGCCAATGGACCAGATGTCCACCTCGAAGCTGTGCCCCTTCTTGCCCAGCACCTCTGGGGCGATGTAGTTTGGTGTCCCACACAGGGTCTTCTTGCGTTCCCCATCGTACTCTACCTTGGTGGCCAGGCCAAAGTCACCTGGAGGGACAGGGAGACGGGATATAACCAGGATGCCCTGGCTGGCTGGTCCCTGTGCTGGGGTCCCTGCACTTACCGATCTTAACCTCCATGTCGTCACTAAGGAAGAGGTTGCCCAGCTTGAGGTCGCGGTGGATGACACGGTGGTTGTGCAGGTACTGGCAGCCCAGGATGGTCTGCCGCAGGTAGTACCGCACCTCGGGCTCGCTCAGCGCCTTCCGCCGCTTGTGCAGCTCCAGCAGCGACTGCGGGGAACGAGGGGTCAGTACCGGGGCGGGGGTTGCGGGACAAGGAGGAGCTCAGTACCGCAGGACGCGGGGAAGGGAAGGGCAGGTCCGCACCCGGGGACACCGACACCCGCCCCCCGGCCCCTCACCCGGCGGCGGCAGAGCTCCAGCACGACGTAGACGAAGTCGTCGTCCTCGAAGAAGCCCTGGAAGCCGACGACGTGGCGGTGGGAGAGGCTGCGGTGGATAGCGATCTCCATGGACATCTTCTCCTTCTGGTGCGGCTTCACCAGCAGCGACTTGGGCACCACCTTCCCCGCGAACACCTCCCGGCTCTCGGCCTCGGCCAGCTCGTAGCACCGCGCGAAGCCGCCCTTGCCCAGGAACCGCCCGCGCACGAAGCTGCGCCGGGTGCGGGGATCCACGAGCACCTTCGGCACCTCCTTCCCCCCCGCCGCCGCCGCCGCCGCCGCCGCCCGGGCCGGCTCCACCAGCGCCGCCGGCCGCGCCGCCTTCCCGCCCGGCGCGCTCATGCTGTGTCCGCGCTGGGGCACCGCCGGGCCCCGGCTGCCTGCACCGAAACAGCGGCTGCGGGAGAGCGGCGGGTCCCGGTGCAGCAGTGGGTGCTGGGGAAGTGGCACGAGCCGGGTTCGTGCACCGGTGCAGCTGCGGGTCTCGGTACCGGTGGATCTGGGTGTGCCGAGTCCCTGTACCGGCGGGTCCCGGTGCAGCAGCGGCTGCGGGTGCCGGCTGTGCTGTTCCGGTGCCGCGGCAGTACGGTACGGCCCGGGCTGAGCTGGGCCGCTCGCTCGCTCCGGCCGCGATTCAAAGGCGGCGCCGGGGCCGTTACCGCGCGCGGCCGCTCCCCATTGGCCGCACGATTTAAAATCCACGCGGCGCGCGGGGCACCATGGGAGCCCAGGGAGACCGGCACCCGCGGGGGCGGGGCCGGGCGCGCTCGGACACGCCCCCCCAGCGCGGCGATGTGCGCGTGCGCAGGGCGCCGTTGGCTGCCGCCGCGCGCGCTCCCGCCGGCTCCGAGGCGCGCTCTGCGCGCTCCCGCGGGACCCCGAGCGCGGGCACGAGGCGCTCCGCCAAGGACATTCCTCGGGATTTGCACCGGCGTGGGTTTCCTCGGGAGAGGCCCGGCGGCGGCACCGCCCGCTCCCGCGGCTCCCATGTCCAGCGGTTCCCAGCGGGATTCCCGCGGGTAGCCAGGAACCGACCTTGGGTCGGTTTCTATAACACAGACACGCCACGCTGCGCCCCTCGGGTGACGGTGTGGCAGTTCTGAGGGGCTGTCCCTGACCTCGCTACCCCCTGTTCCCCGCACGACAGGCTCTCCGGCACTCCCGGTGCTGGCTCTGGGTCCCCTTGCCGGGAGAGGTGACCGCGGGATGCTCCCATGCGTCCCGCGGTCATGCACACACCGTCAGTGGCCTGCATACACGGTGCTTTTGCCCGGCAGGTTGAGCTGATACCCCGGCCGAGCCTCACCCACAGGCACAGGCCATCTGTGTCAGAGTGTCCTGGAGCCTGGTGCACGGACAGGGCCAGGAGCCCTGCAGGTGACCACAGCCAAAGCTCAAGTGCCATTCCTGCTGCAGAGCTGGATCATCCCAGGGGATTCTGCTCCCCACAAAGCAGGCACAGCACGGTCCCCGCTGGCCTGGTGCCTGAGAGACCTCCCCACACAGCCCTGGCACGCCGAGCCACCAGCAGCACAGGCAGGGAGGGTGTGCTCCCAGGGACCCTGAACCTCCTCACATGCAGCAGCACCCCCTGCCCCTCCTGGTCAGCAACGCCGAGCAAAGCACACAGCGATCAATGAAGCCACACAGCAACTTGGGGTTAGAAGTGCTCAGTGTTTGTACAGATTGCTGACAGAAGACATTCCCCTCCCTGCAGGATGTGCTTCCCCACTCCTGCACCACGCTGGATGGAAGGCTGCGGGCAGAGCTGGGACACTGACACTCCATCTTCCCAGACTGGCAGAGGCAGAGAGCTGAGCCCAGGTCAGAGGGATGCTTCAGAGGCAGGAGGAGAAAGTGGCCAGTGTAAGGAATGTTAACAATGCTGGGTGTTAGGGATCTTCAGTGGTGGCTTGGTTTTAGGCCCTGCCAGAGGCCACCTTAACAAAGACAACAAAAGAGGTTTTAATAAGGGCAGAAGAGTCAGCTCAGACAGCTAGAAGGAAGAGCAGGCCAAGAAACATGTTATTGCAGTGTCACACCCCTTCATGCACTACAGCTCTGCTCTCAGGTGCTGTGGAAATTCATCACTCAGACTTTTCCAGCTGCCACCCCACTCCCAAACTCACATCCCCTCTCCCACTCCTCTCCCTGTGCTGTGGCTGCTGATCAAGCGATCCCAGTGAAATGCACAATGTGGTGTTGAAACTGAGGTGACAACACAGCAACACAGCACAGACACCCCACTCCTGCCAGACACTGCCGGAGACACCCTGGAGCAAAGCAGTGCTCTGAACTCCTGACTTGCAGGCAATCTCACAAGAAGCCCCAAACCTGCCAAGCCTGTGAGAGAGGAGGCCCCTCAGGGGGAGCAAGCAGCTCCTTTCACCCTGTACTGCATGTTGTAATGCACAGGACAGCCAGAATAGCCTGTAACAGCCACAGAACAAGGGACTGTGGCTCATGCCCAGGCACAGCAGGAACCTCAATCTAGTTTGGTTTGAAGAGTCACGAGTCACTTGAACAACTGAAGAGGCTTTAATTTATGTACAGTAAAAATACAAACCAGTCAGTGGTTTTACACGGGAGGTACAGCAGCTACTACACACGTTAGTACTCACACAGCTATTGGCTACTAAGGTGTATCAGCATTTGCTCCACAGATCAGCTGAGGCGCCAGGGCTGCTCCCCCACAGCCACACACCTACCACACACCTAAACCCCAGCTGCTCCACTACAACATGCAGGTTAGAACCTAGAGCAGGACTAGGCTAAGCTTTAACAGAGCACAACCAGAGCAGGCAGACTGGTGTGCAGCCAGTTGTCTGAACTCGGGTACACAAGCACCAGATGCCTCCAACTTTCAGAGCTGCTCTCAGCAAGAACTATTCATGCTCTAATACATGTCCAAAATGAAATCTTCACTCTTTCTAAGAAGTTTGAGCGTCATTCTTAAGTTTCATAGTGCAGAAAAGCACAGGAGAGCATTCTGCAAATGCAGACACTGGGTAATAAATGGGAACATTTGCAGCATTCTCTCACTTTTAATTACCCACATTCTGCTGCACTGAATTCTGTGAGATGGCAATCCTCTTTTCAAAGGCCTTTGGCTCTTTAAGGTCTGTGATATTCAGGAAGTGGCACTGACCCCAGGAACACCAGCCCTGAGGGGGGAGAGCACAGGACTGAGGTCAGCCTGCTTCAGGAGCTAAGAGCTAAGGAACATCCTGTCAGGCACAGAAAGACAGCTGTCAGTGCCAGCCAACACTCCTAAAGCCAACAGCAGGATGATGTACCCTGCAGAGAATCCCAGGGAGAAAGGAAGAGGCCGTGCACCTCAGCACGCAGGCCCATGGGCAGCAAGGATTGTGCCAAAGGAAAGGCCTATGAACCCTGGAAAGTGCCCAGAGCCAGAACAGCCCTGCTGGGATGGAGACTGCGCCTAACAAGCCTAAACTAGGACAGAAGTGAGCAGACAGGCTGAGGCGGGTGTCAGCCCTGCCTCACTCCCAGCTGCTGCCCCAAGGCAGGCGTTCAGCCTTCCCAGCTCCAGAACATTCAGAGGCACAACTCAGACAACGTGGGATGGAGTACACTGGACGAGCACACAGAGTTTGAACAGGACACAGCAGCTTTCACGAGGGACTGCTTGGCCAGGCCAGCTGAGGCACAGGGGCTCAGGGTCCCTCTGCCCACCCCCTGAACGCTCCTGTGGGCTACTAGACCTGAGTGAGTGGCAAGAACTTCTGGTAATAGCTCTTGGTAACGTCAATCATCAGCTCCTGGGTGCATTCCGGGAGCTCCCCCGAGAACAGTCCTGGAAGAAGAACAGCATGGCCATCAGTCATGGTGTACCACTGTGTACATGCACTAAAACAGGGAGTTTCACAAGTTAGAAGGGCTACTTTTCAGTGCAGCAAGTACCCAGTAACTTTATTTTTAGGTACTAAATGCTAATGGGCACCTTTGTTATAGAAATCCCATTTAAAATAAGAACATCCATGTTGTTTTCAGTTTTGTGCAAGGGAAGATAGAGGGAGCATACCTGGGCAGCCTGAGAAGACAGTGAAAGGTGGAACTACGGTTTCAGGAGGGAGTACTGTGTTGTCTAAGATTTTGCAGCAATCTTTCAAAACACATCTACGTCCCTAAAACAGAGAACAGAAAAAGTTTATATCTACAACACTATGAACATGAGGTTTTCTTATTATTACTGATATGTTACTTAAATTTCAAGAAGATTAACTGCTCAAAACATATCCTTTATAAGAGATCACAGGAATAAATCTTTACCCTGACCGAATGATCTCCCAACAAAATTAACTTTTCTTTTTGAGGAAAAATGTCTGTCTGCTTTCAGCTAGCACAGGTACAACTGCACATTAACATGTCAATGTTCAAAGTGGCACCAAAAACCCGAGTCAAGCAGCAAGGCCTTCTCTACTTCAGCACACAGTAGCCTCGACTATCTAGCCTTATTTACACAGAAATACAACAATTCCATTTGTACTCTGTGGCCAGGCTGCCTCCCTCGGGCAATGCCATTAGCCACAGGGACAACACTTGGGATGGATTTTGCAGCCAGCAGCAGCTTAACACGCTGTCCTCAGAGAAGTAAACCTGAAAGCTCAGCTTCCTGCACAGAAGGACAAGGAGCAGGAAGAACAGCACAGACAGTGAGCCTGCTCCAGCCAGCTGCTGCAGACACCTCTCAACTGCTGTCACAAGGTCTCAGCAGCACGCAGCAGTTCACAGAAAATACAGAAATGGCACTCACAATGACACAGTTCTTGCCTATGTGCACATAGGAGCCGATCTGGGCCGCATTGACAACACAGTCCTCTTCTATGAAGACATGGTCACCAATGTGCAGAGGGAAGAAAGCCACCCTGCAACAGGAGAGCAGAGTATTTGTGTGTGTCCAACAAACAAACTGACACTGCTAGACCCAGAATCGCCCCACAGAGTCTCTTGTCCCCAGACGGATTAACAGATGTGGATCCTGTGCTAAGGGAGACAGAACAGTTTCTGGGTTTCTCCTCTCTAAAGGATGGCCCAAATGAGAAGGAAGATGTTGCGAATAAACACGCAGAAACTGAAACATGCTCTTCACTTTGCTATTCTAATCTATCGCTTTCCATCCAACAGAGGGTTGGAACACAACCCCCAAGGCACAGCTCAGCATCTGAGGAAAAAGCAGGTTTGAGAGATGATTTCTGCAAATTGCTGCAAAAGGAAGAGTTCTTGGAATACAAGACTCAGTCAAGCTGACAGATTTTTCAGGTCTCTCCCTAAAGGAAGGGGCTCTCACCCTTTGCTGAACTTCTTGAAGGGCGGCCTGA